TTTATTAGGAATTTTTTCTGAAATTTTCTCCAAGCTCAATGTCAATGAGCTGCTAGCTGCATTCTGCAAGATGCTTATGCATGATATAAATAATCAATTATATTGTTTGGTATTTTTATTTTATTTTTTTATTATTTTTTATATTTTCTGTCACTCGCCTATGTTATTTATTAGGAATTTGTGAATTTTCTGCAAGCTCAATGAGCTTCTAGCTTCATTCTGCAAGATGCTATGTATGAATTAATAAATAAATTATATTCCAGCTTGCTGCTAATTTAGTCCTCTACTAAATGCAGCAGTTTTATTTTATTTTATTTTTTCTGTCTGGTATTTTTATTTTTATTTTTATTTTTTTCTGGACAGGTGATCAAAGTTTTTCATCATGGCTCAAATCAATGTCACAAATGCACAAAAACCATTTATGGACCAATTTGAAGCCTCAAACAATCACAAGTCACAATAGGGAGATGAAATTGAAATCCCTTCATGCATACACTATAAAAAAGGTAACAAAAAGTTTCGAATTATCTATCGGCTGCACGCAGAAGAGGAGAGCTGCTATTTTCACCGGAATCTGAATATCTGACCAGATTCATAGCTGGATCTCGATATGCAGTGGAAAGCTCGTCATAGAAAGAAGATATGGTGGGTTCATATTGATCAAGTCTATCCTTGTTTATCAAGCACTGCATTTGTTTTGTCAACAGGAAAAGGAAAAAAAAAAAAGATTAGTTATCAGTCAAAGTACACTCGGTAGCCAACTAATCAAGGAAACAACAAACGAGAGTACGAGACATTTTACAGGATCGAGAGCCTAAAAAAAACGAGTTAGTGTGGGGATTTTACCTCGGCAGGATAGCCTTTGAAGCTCGGTAAAAATCTTCTACGGCAGTAACTGTTGAATATGAGGGTGAGAATCGGGAGAGGAATTGTTAAGCTTGAAGCCATCGGGACTTTCTTGAGACCGAATATCCCGACTGCAATAACATGCATCAATATTAAGGAAAATATTGTTGCATCGTGAACCACAGGCCAGAATTTCCCACCGGTTTCGAATTTGGGCTCATAAACATTCAAGAGCTGACCAAGAAAAAAAGGACAATTAAGCAAAAAAATTAGTGTTAATATCTCATTTAGTCCACACTAATTGCATCAAACACAAACTAAAAGAATTCATTGGAAAATAATTATTTTGCTCAATTCTCATTTTCATCCTTGCTACTCTACTTTCATTTGAACAAAATGGCAATGAAAAAAGTTAAAAGCTGGACTTTTTTTGCATTAATATTTGTCAAATCCGAATCCCAAACCGATCTTTAAATTATAGCTCACCTGATTTCGGTAGATGATGTACCCAAAGCAATAGTAAACCAAGACAAACGGCAAAATCATGGGTGCAAGGAAGAAGTAAGTTATGCCAAGAAGGCCGAAAAATAGAATCCTCGGAATTTCACTATGATAAGGGTTTGAAGGTACTTCAACTTCAACTTCCTCATCAGATTTCCAACACAATTTTCGTTTAATCGAACCCCAAATGAAGCGTTTCACGCGGAAAAGCTTCGAGGAAAATGTTTTGGTCCATCCAGATGTCACAACATATGCAATGAAGAATGATGCCTAAAAAGAGAACAATAACTTTTCACTCGAACAGTATAAATCTTCGAAAGAACTTTCAAAACATGAACAAGTAGTAAAGGGATTACATTAGTAGTGAAAACGAGCATTACCTGTCCAGGAACAGCTACAGCTAATACTTCAGGAATTCTTTTGGGCTCAAGAAAGATATTGATTCTGTATAGTGCTGATCCTGATAGGACATTTGCAAAGAAGATGTTCCATATAGTGAACCACAACATTTTAATGCATGCACTTTTCTCTATCTGGCTGAGAGCAATGTACCCTTGTATAGAGGAAAGCACGATCATGGTCGGTGGTATTGCAGATAAAAACATCTCAAGAATCAAACTTGGAAGATATCCTGTAATTACTTGGCCCACGATTTTCCTGCATGACATGTAAATCCCAATGTTATGCAGTAAAGCTAGTAGAAAATGTTATTAATCGATAACTAATGGCATTTTATGTGTAATTAAGTAACTCACACTTCGAATACGGCTTTTAAAAAGGGTAGCCAAATCTCTAACTGATCCAAATGAGTAAGACCTTGCACTAGGAGAACAGGACCAAGGAATAAAACTGTTATGAAAATACATGCGAAAATAACGAAAATGTTGCACATCCATCTTTTGAGAAAAGAAGCGGAAAAGAAGGGCCAATATACATCCTGCGGATCAGGAGCTTGCTCGGCAAGCCATTCTGTGGGTTTAATCCCCTGTTGAAGGTGCGAAACTACTGAAGCTGTAAACCGAGACTTGAAAGAGACAAATGCAGCTGGAACTTCCTATAAGTGCAGAATTAGATTATAATATCGTCTAGATAGTACCCAAACCATTTAATATGAATACACAAATATGAACTATTAAAGAGGCCAAAGAAAGATAACACCCAAAATGAAAATGAGGGGATAAAAGTGAAAAAAAAATAAAAAAAATAGCCAATTTAGCCAAAGATTGTTACCTTTCCAGCTATAGAAGACCGTTCCGTCCTCAAATTACCTTCCATATCTTCTAGCTTCTTTTCGTAGTGATCTTGAAGATCAACTCTTCTTCCAAAAAGACCCAGAAAGCCAGCTCGCTTAAATCTTTCTTGAGGATGTCTTTTCGTTTTCACATGAGCAAGTCTTTTGTAAACCTTGTCCGCCTTATTCTATGAACAATGTCGAGCACGTCTCAGAAACAGAACAAATTGTGTTACATCTAGATTTAATCATCAAATTTTTAAATTTATTATTAAAGGAAAAAGTGAAACTTGTTATCACCACAGAAGTTTATATAAGCAACTAACATAGCTACCATACCTTTCATAATGATATTTTATGTATATAAAAAAAAACATGGCTAAAATGAATAAAAGAGCTCAGAAAATTTAAACGATTGAAATGAATGGATGGAGGAAGTAAAATTTTCAGAACATGTTGGCTACATACAGTTTGCATGTTCAACGGGAAAAGTAAAATGTAAAGCATTAATGACGACAAGAATAAAATAAATTAAGTGTTAGCTTTGAATTCCGCTTACAATGAGCCCTTTAAGTTTGCTTGTCCGGCGGACCACAGAATGGGATAGATAGGTAGAAGGATAGTATTTACTGAAGAAGCTCTCAACACTTTCACTGAACTTCTGTCCAGAAGAGACTGGAATACTTCGAACTAAAACAGTGAACTGGCTAGGCCGAGGTTTGGAAGAATAGAAGTAAGCAATTCTCCTTGATGCAATATAGTCATATTCCTGCATAACTAACACTAATTTATCGCCCATAAACTTTTTGTATCAACTAGTATGGAAGATCTATATGGAGCGAAAGATATGAAAGATGAATTACTTACAAAATAAAGAAGATAGCAGACAACAGCCGTGAAAATATAAACAGCTGAGAAGTGTATCCATAACCTTTGGACCCACAATGAAGTATACGTCAGTTTACCAGTCAAAAGTTAATACAAAAATTCAACCACCTACAAACTTAATGCACAAAAGAATTAAGTGAAGGATTTCCCAAACACCAAAAGAAAATGGTAAAGCATAAGGGATCAATCTGTCAACTAACCATAGAATATCATACCCTTAGAGAAATGCACAACTCGAATCTCATTGGTTAAGCAATACACTTAGCTCGTTGTGATAACAATAAATTCTAGTTCATTAAAGAGGATAAATTATGAATGACCTGTTTGACCCATCGTCAACATTTGAAATACTGAATGTTTCCAACGATTTGTTTGGTAGGTCAGTAAAGTCGATGTTCAGCTGATTCCCCATATAATTGAAAGGAAGAAGAACGAATATTCCGATAATCCCAGCAAATCGAAATACTCTGAGCCTGTAGACAGAGAATGAGGCATTTTCTAAGACGAGCTAAGTAATCTGCACAAAAATAGAACTAAAGAAGTTACCACTGAAAAACCTCCCTTCTAGGCATATGTTGTTAATATTAAGCAGTATCAAATCAGCTACTTCCGGTTTAACATCCGTTCGAAAAAATATATTTCACAATGAATAATTTTTTCCAAGCTCAAGCTCTCTGCCTAACATTTCAAAAATATGAAATAGATGTGTTAAAGTTATAATGATAAGGATTTTTAACATTATTGGAGTACAATACATGAATGTCACAGCAACTCATCGATACACCATAACTCGATACAGCAACTATACTCTGTCACTAACCCGAAAATGAAAATGCGCATGAATACCACAGCATCCAATCCAGAATTAGACAAAAGCTCATCTTCAGAAGGCTGCCATGCTCTTTTCACCCATTTGAAAGAGGACAATAAACTTCCGACACCGAATTCGTCTTCCTCCCGGAATTTCCCTTCCGCTACCAAACGCGGCACATAGAGGTTGGCATTGCTCGACCGATTTCTCAGTACAGAGTATAGTATGAAGAAAACAAAACAAAGGGTGGCATTTATCCCCACTGATGTTAATAGTGCAGAAAGAATCATTCCTTCAAACTCTCAAAAACTGGAACTTTTTTCAATAATTGTAAAAAGGGCCACCACCAGCTCAAAAACCCATTTGCAGTTGTAACCACAAATTCTTCACTGAGCTACTTGTTTTCCAGGAAAAAAAAATAAATCTGCAAAAGTTATGCTATTTAAACCACGGGACCAACAAAACGAATAGCAAATGCAGAGCAAAAAGGGGAAACCTTCAACTATTTTCTATTGCCATATTTTCACATAACTAAGCTAAGCTAGCTGAATTGTTATGAGAAAATGATAAAGACTTCAAATAATATATCACTAAATTTAAATTCTACCGGCATGCCGGTAGATTCTTGGGAGTTTTAAGAAATTTTGCTTGATTAAAATAATCTGTAGCAACGTGCAGCCATAAATGAAAAGCATCGACATCGGTGTTGATGATGTATACTCACTGGATAAGCAAAACCCTAGCAAGCCGACTGCTCGCAGTTCAGATATATATCAACCCCTCTTTTTTTTTTTTTCCAGCAGAGGCTAATGGGAATTTGGAGACGACGACACTTTTTGGTCTTACCTCAATGTTTATATGTTTTGGGGGGATTGAACAATTTGGTTTGTAGGAAAAACACTCTTTTTTGTTTTCTGTTCACCATCCGGTTTTAATCGAAATAAACCGTCAATTTAGATCGTGGATCGGTTAAATAGTCGATTAAAAAAGCCTTAAAAAATCTGGTGGTTAATTTTTTAAAAATGCGGGGATCACTTTTTCCCACCTCCGTTTTTTTATATTCATATTTTCCCACTTTCTCTTCCTAATTTTTTGCGACGAAATT